ATGAAGGAATTAATCCTTGGGATGTGCTGAAATTTTCAAGGAAAATAAAATTATATAAGAAGCAGTGTTCAAAACTTCAAATAAACGACTTGGTCAATCAGAAGCTTTGACCTCTGAATCATCAAATTCATCATACCCGAACTGGTTCCAGGTTGGTAAGGCGGCGACCAACTGAACCATCTAATTTAGCATACTCTTCAGACAATACAACAGCAATCATCCCATCATCATCAACATCAACATCCGGCTGACTGCTTAATGAAGTTGAGCTAGAACATTCACCGACACTTGGAGCCTGAATATGATCTGAAGATGAATGCCCTTCGAAGGGAGGGGTTCCGTTTCTCATCATCCACAACGATCACGGAGTTGAGATTCTGTATGTCAACTGCAAAACCCCAAGTCCTGCAACCAAAAATAGCTTTCAGACATCATTCAAAACATTAAACATTTTGAATAAATTGATAAGCTCGTCTGATCATCTCCCCCAAATAACATCCCAACTCAAAATCAAAACCAAGAAGGGATGTCAATAACGCTCGTCTGGTTATATTGAGTTGAATTTCAAATAAAATGGAAACCCCACGAGATGCCATACCACTCCGTTCAGATCCAAGATAAGAGACGTAATAATTACGGAAAGATAGAGACAACGAAGGTATAAAAAATTAGGGCATCACATTTGCCTATAAGAATTTGTTTCAAATAAAAGTCAAATTCGTTCTCGGATCATATTGTATAGAAATGATTAATTGAAAAAAGTAACGCGTAATCCATTGAGAAACATAATAATTGACATAAGAGATACCCTGCGATTATTAAGCTTACCTTCCGGCGAATAATGTGGGGAAAGAAGAAAGAGGGGAGAAATGATGAATCTTTAACCAAAACGAGGGAGAACTAAAATCAGATAAGCTGTCGTTCAACCGGTAATTGACTTTCAGGATTTGTAGGTGGGTGGTGGCAAGGAGCAACTGCAAACTGCAATAGAGATTCAAAGGGGCCGAAGAGAAGAAGAAGCAAATAATGTTGATTTGGGCCCCCTCTAAATCCAATGGGCTAGACTTCCACTGATTTGATGTTTTAAAATAGAAACTTTCTCATTGCTTTTTATTATTTAGTAGGTTAAAAAAAATTTAAAAATTCAATACTAAAGTATATTGAAAATGATTGTCAATGTGATAATGCATTTTAATATAACTTTAAAAGTATTATAGTAAAATAGTACAACTTAGTGAACAAGTTTATTAAAAAAAGTTATAATACGAAGTTCTAAACATTTAGAAGTTTGAATTTATAAGAAAAATAAAAAACTATTAAAAATTTAAAATGTTCATTTATTTTTTAAATTTAAACAAATAATTTAAATAAATAAACAAAAGAAATAATTGGGTTTTAATTTAGGAATTTTGAAATTAAAAAGAAAGTTGCATTAATAAAATTGATATATATTTATTACAATTATTACAATTAAATACTATGTATAATTTAATAAAATAGAAAAAAAAACCATAAAATGACTTGTGGAAAAGTTTTAATTTTATAGTCTCAAAATTACATGTGACAAAATGAATGAGAATGTGATATATGATAAAAATATATATATTTTTATTTATTAGAGTAGATTTGAGATTATTTATATTTTCACATAATGTATATCAGTAAAAGAAAGTTTTTTAAATTTTAGATATAATTATAAAATAAGTATTCTAAAAAATAGTTGATTAAAATCCATATAATGATAACTTAACTTGTTTGATTTTGTATATATTAGGCAATCTCAAATAACTTAATTCAGAATTCAAATTTTAAATTTATAACATATCTTGATTTAGTTTAATTTAAAAAACTGAATTAATAGAGAAAAAATATGTGAGACTACCACATGTCAATATTTGAATAAATGATAATTTTTTGAACTAATACTTCTATATAATGATACGTGCTACAAGTTATTTGTATGTATTAGATACTATAGATTTTCAATCAAATTTTATAACTTTTTTAATTTAATTCAAGTGTGTTGTTTTTGAAGGGGGAAATAGGTTACTAAAAACTTTAATTTGGGGGGTTAAAAATCTGATGTATATGGGAGAAAATGAGACTTTGCAACAAAATAAATAAATAAATAAAATAAGTGGAAAAGAAAATGATAAAGCAAAACGAAAGTGAAAGGCAAACAATAATATTATTGGCAAACAATAATCTTATGAATCTGTATATATAATGAATATAAAGGTTTGATGATATATCGATTTTGTAAAATGTTTAACATAAAATATTTCGTTTAGTCTTATTTTTGTTATTCAAATATGCAAAGGTTGTTCGCCTTTTACCTTTTGTTTTGTTTTAAATATTTATTATACAAGTTTGTTGCCCGTTAAAAAATTGATGATACACTATTATATAATATTTTATAAAATTTGGTACAAAGAATATAATAATATATTATGATTTTTTTTCATATTTATATAAACAACTTCAACAACCATTATTGTTATAAATTTTTATTTATAAATTTGTCAAAAAAATCATGTTTGTGTTGTCGGACTTTTTTTTAAGCATTGAAACTTTTTTTTTCAAAATTGTTTATCACTAATAAAGTTTGAATAAATATAAATTCAAAAAAACTAAAAAAATAAAAAATAAAGATATATGTGTTTTTTAGGCTAGAAGATGTATGAGACTTTGGTCCACATCTGCATCAAGAAGATGACGTGCAGATATATTTAGGTCTCCAGTCTTCAAAAAAACAAACAGTCTACGAAGACTAATGTCTACACGTGGTCTGCGCCGCGCAAACAGAAAAGACCAAGAAGATTTGCGGACAAAAAAAAACAAAATATAATGTGGGACCTAACAGACACCCAACTTGCCCCAATTTCAAGGCTCGAGCATCCATTAGGTTAGATGTAAGTGTCTTAGAAGATATTAAACGTCTTTTCATACTCGATTAATAGAAATATTTAAACTATGTAATGTATATTTCTTACTTGTAATAGCAACGTGCTTATAATGTGTATGGATCTACATATATTACCCGTCGATAAGGAAAAGCAAATTATGTTATTTCCGACAATTTACCATTGAAACATTACTACAGAAATGGTTACTGGAAAAAACTAAGATTTACAGAAACGGTCCCTATACGAAATACTTATAGAAACAGTCCCTATGAGATTTACAAAGCTAAAAAAACAGTCCCTAGAAGAAATTAAGAATTACAGAAATGGTCCTTATAAGAATTAGTCGTAAATGATCGTTGTAAGAAATAATTACAAAAATACTTCATATGTAATCACGATATTACAGGGAGGCATTTAATTTTCAAAAAAAAAATTACAAAAATATATCTACTTGATCACAAACTTATAGAAATAGTCCATGGAAAAAACTAAGATTTAGAAAAGAGGTCCCTATATGAAATAGTTACAAAGATAGTCCATGTAAGATTTACAAAGTTACAAAAATGGTCTACAGAATAAATTAAGAAGTACATAAATGGTCCCTGCAAGAATTACTTACAGAAATGGTCACAAAAATAATTACAAAGATAGTCTCTATATAATATCGATATTATAAACATTATTGTTGTATAATAGCAAGAAAATAGACTCTGTATAATATCAAAATCAAAGAAATGATCCTTAATGTAGGACTATCCTACTTGGTAGAAGCGTTGCCTCTTAGGGCATCTCTAATGATGCCTTATTTATAACTTATTAGTATCGGCCTTTATTTTTTTAGACAAAATTACACAGATGGTCCCTGTGGTTGGCACGAGAGACCAAAGATAGTCCTTATGAGGAATTTTGGACGAGTATGGTCCCTGTGGTTCCAAATTGTTGCACGAATAGTCCTTATGACATACTCCGTTTAATTGTTGTCGTTTATCTAAATCACGTGACCCTCACACGAGGGTATTTTTGTCATTTGCTTATCCCTTCTCTCTCATGATCTGCAAAAGATAGTCCCTTTCCCTATAAAAATTAAACCCCCATCACTTCCTTCTTTATTTATCGTCTCCTCTATTCTCTCTTCTCTCTTCTCTCTTCTGTGTGTTTGTAAGAAAATTTGCATAAGAATGGTAAATTGTTTTTGTGGAAGGCAAGCGGTGATAGTGACATCATGGACGGATCTCAACCCAGGGCGTAGGTTTTGGAAATGTCCTAGCAGTTGCGGTTTCATTGCATGGTTTGATGAGCCCATGTGTCGAAGGGCTGTGGCTGTCATTCCAGGTTTGCTAAGATCCAAGAACAAGCTTCAAGAATCTCTGCTGCAAGCAAGTTTGGAAGCAAAAAAAGTGAAGATGATGATAGTTTTTAGTTGGGTTTTCTTTTTCATGTATGTGTACAAAAGATGCTAATAGTATTAGTCTGAAGATGATGGTTCTTTTGCTTGTGGGTAGATAGATGATGGTTCTTTTGCTTGTGGGTAGAATCAGATATTACTATTAATTTGAAGATGATTTCGTTTTTTTGTTTGTGATGTAAGAAATGTTCGTATGTATGAATGGAATGCTTTTTATTTGGGAAACTTTTAGTCTGCAACCATTGAAAAATATTGGTCTGGAACGTAATGAGTGTAAAATATTGGTTTGCAACTTAATGAACTATCCAGATCCATTAAAGTATAAAAAATGAAAGTGAAAGGTTTTTATAGGGTTTAGACCATTGTAGTATAATGTGTGAACCATTGTAAAGCCATAACAACATTAGAAATGTTCAAAAATAAAATGCAAACTTTTGCATAGTCATAAAGTTCATTACATAACCTTAAAGTGCAAAGTCATAATACCAAAAAAATATCAAAAGAGCTTGCAGACTAATGTATCATAACCAAAAGAACCATCTTAGTCTAGCACCCTGTGTGAACCATAATACCAACAAAAGATAAAGACACACAATAACCAACTTAGTCTGACCTTTCTAAGGTACCAAAACAAACAACACAAAAGACCTTTCTAAGGTTCCATAACAAACAACACAAAAGACAACAAATCAAACTTTTTCCTTCATTTTGGATTTATCCTTTTTTCCATCTCCCTGCTTCTTTGCCTTGCTAAGCTTCTTGCCCCCTGCCACCACATTTCTAACTTCAGTTTGTCCCCCTTGTCCCTTGCAACTCCTAGAGTTGTGACCCTTGTTCTTGCATTTGCTACAAGTAACTGTAAGGAACTTCCTGGTCAAACTTTTACCTTGATTATTTGGTTCTTCAGTTTGAGCTCTCTTTCTCTTCTTTTTTGGTCTCCCTACCTGCATAATTAATAAATTATAAAACAATATAAACGTATAATAACTTGTAAATTGAAAATTATTTACCTGTTTAGTATGTTTGGGGGGTGTTAGTGTTGTGGGGCAATCTGACTTTGGCCACATACTTCTTCCATTGATTGGTTGAACTTTGTACTTGTACATTTCATTCCATGTGCTTAACCTATAACATGGATGTACCCACTCCTCAAGAGGTGGGACATTTTTTGCCCCATGCTCAACCTTATCCCAAATGGCACTAACAAGATGAGAGCATGGTATCCCAGTGATCTCTGTATGCCTGCAACTACAGTTCCTGTCCCTCCAATTAACCACAAATTGTTCCCCCATTGTCCCAGTAACTTGAGTCTTCTCAGCACCATTAAATATGCAAGTGTATTGAGAAGCATGTTTCTTAACTCCATCTAAAAGTTTTGTGGCTGTTGGGGTAAGAGGCCCTTGAGACTTATCTATCACATTTTGCACAATACAAATTCGTTTCATTAAGTATTCCCTAATATATTCTAAACATGTAATTATAGGTTTGTCTCGAGCATCTAACAACTTTGAGTTGAAAACTTCACATAAATTATTCAACAAAATATCTGTATGTGCTCTTCCTGTACAATGCAACAAAATATCTTATAAGAATCTGTCAAAGTGTAAATCTTCCTTGAATCTGTCAAGGTGTCTAACTGTTATATAAGGGTAAATATACCTGAAATATGTGCTCTGGCCCAATGTTTGGGTGGAATTTTCTTTAACCAATCACATGCCTTTGAATTGAACTTGTTAAAATCTTCCATGAATCTGTCAAAGTGTCTAATTTGTTGTTGCTGTTGCACATTCCCATAAATGATCTCTGTGCTCCTTCCCCCTCCATTGTAGCTTCATGTTTTCGTGAATATGTCTTAAACAAAACCTATGTTCAGCGCTAGGGAATAGGTTGGCAATGGCAGGTAAAATCCCCTAATAAACAAGTAACAAAAATGTTATTTTTTAAAGGTAGCAGACAAAATTACACAGATGTCATGAACAAGTATCATAAGAAGACTAACCTTTTGCCTGTCAGAAATAAATGTGAAGTTTGAATTTGTAGACAGCTCCAAATCTTCACCTAGACACTCTAGAAACCAACTCCATGAGCTTATGTTCTCGGCTTCAACTATGGCATATGCTAGTGGGTAGATCCCATTATTGGAATCAAGACCCACAGCAGTGAGAACCTGTCCAGGGTAAGGTCCCTTCATGAAAGCCCCATCGAATCCTAAGAAATCTCTTAAACCTGCCTTAAAACCCAGTTTTAATGCACCTAAACAGACATAAATTCTCTTAAACATCCTAGTTTCCAAGTTTGCATTTGGTTCACTGTATACATCAATCTTCACAGTTGTTCCTGGGTTGCACTGTTGTAATTCTAGTACATAATCCCTGAGAAGGCTGTATTGCTTTTCATAATCTCCGTGAACATGTTTCTGTGCAAGCTGTTTAGCCCTAAAGACCTTCATTCTTGACATCCCCACCTCGTATGTCTTTTGTAACTCTACACGCAAAGCTTTGACTGGGATAGTTGGGTTTCCTTCCACTTGTTGAAGAATGGTGGTTGCAAGAAACTTAGAAGTACACGCTTTAATAGATCTTGACTGCACACATCTATGCTCATGAACCAAAGTTTTCACCATCCAATCGCTTTCTTCATCAGATCTAGAAATTAATACCACCCAAGGGCATGTTGCTTTTTGTGAACTGACTGTTTTGTCCTTGCATTTGATTCTACTTTTTGTCCATGGCCCACCTGTCATTTCTGGGACCACACCCCTGCATTTTGCCCTAATTCTTTGTTTATCATTTTTTGCAAAATAAATGTTTCTCCTAGTTCGAATTGAATGCATTTTAATGTAGTCCTTCGCTTCTGATGAGGACTTAAATATTTGACCCAGATAGAATGCAGTTTCATGTACTACTCCTGATGAACACGTGGTTGGTTTGTTTAACCTTCTCATTAACTTCTTCCTCTCATCTTCTTCTACACCAGCTGATTCAAACAACTGTGTATCTATCACTTCCAAATCGTCATCAACTGTGACATCAGGTGCATTGAATGATTGGTGGTTATCTAGATTTGGAAAAGAATAAACACCACTGTGGAATTCTTTCATATTCACTTCGACATCCTCCACCATATTAAGTTCATCCACTAAAAAGTCACTATCCTCGCTTATACTTCCATTGGTACTAGTCTCATCACTAATAGCATCTCCAATTTCTTCATTGTCCCCCATCTGTTGGTAATCATCGTCCCCCATCTGTTGGTAATCATTATGATCCATATAAAAGAAAGGATCAAAGTCTTCTGAAGGTCCAACATCTTGGGCTTTGTTAAGCTCCTCACTTGCAGGCTGAACTCCAACATCTTTCAATACATCTCTATCAAAATGTCCAAAAGGTACAACAGACCTAGAATAGTCATAGTTCTCATTCAAGTCCAATTTTCTACTACATGATCCTACCTCTGTACTTGTAAACTTTTTTCGATTGAGTTCCGGAGAAATAGGCTCATTGATTTCTTCCAATACGACCTGATTTGGAGACATAAAGTATGTATGGAGTCTAGTAGTTCCATGTTCAGTATACACCATAATCTCTTTATGATTAGCGACATGCTTACTTAACAAAAGTACGTCTGAGTCATTACCTAAAGGAAGTAACCCATAACCGATTTCAATCTCTGGAATCAAGAAGTGGTAGTAGATAGGCTCACCGTTGATATAACCTATCTCCTTCATCATATCGTCTAACTCATGTACGGAGAACACGTCCATGTCTACGTAGTCAACATAGTCAATACTCCCACCAACGTAACGTCTTCCTGGGTATTTTGTGAACATACCCCCATGGTGAATCTTGAATGTGCAAAAACTACTTAACTCAACTGAAAAACAAATAAATAATGATATGAGGAAAGAATGAAGTCTCAAAATTGAATGTGCATAAATTACTTAACAAAATTGGAAGTTGTTAACTGATCACTCACCATAAGCTTTGATCAGGTCAGGATTTTCTGAGAATTTTGAACGGACATTCCACAAAGTTAGAACCATCGCAAATGATGAAGATGAAAACCCTAGTTTCCGTTTGATGTTTTGCAGTGACGAAGATGATAAACCAGAGGAGAAAAGAAAGGGACGATTTCTTGGGGCAACGTAAATGGCAGCTGGATGTAAGGATCATTTATGTATATGATCATTTCGTGTAACAAAGCAAAAGATGAAAATACCCTCGTGTGAGGGTCACGTGATTTAGATAAACGGCAACAATTAAACGGAGTATGTCATAAGGACTATTCGTGCAACAATTTGGAACCACAGGGACCATACTCGTCCAAAATTCCTCATAAGGACTATCTTTGGTCTCTCGTGCCAACCACAGGGACCATCTGTGTAATTTTGTCTTTTTTTATATATAGCTTATTACCATTGGAGCATAAAACTTATTTGTTTTTTTTATTGACTACTTAATATATATTGAGTGGTCAATATACTTATACGCTTTGTACTTATACGCTTTGTACTTATACGCTTTGTCATTTAACACCCTCATACTTTAGCTATATTTCATTTTACCTTCCTAAATATATTTTAGTTTTAAATTTTTTTTTATCTATTTACTAATTAATTATTTATATTAAATATCTAATGACATTTCTTATATGGAATACAAAATTATAATGATCATATATTTTTTTCAATGTTTTTTTAATCACTATTCCTTAATAGTTTTTTCATGTTAATTTTTCCGAACGATATTTTGTAATATACTTATTTTGAATGAACTTATTATAATGTTTTTAATAAAATTAAAATACATGTGTTTAAGTGAAGAATAATTAAATAAGTGGGTTTTATAGAACATTTTAGATAGATATCGGTAAATTAGTTAAAATTTTATAAAAAAAAAAAGCTATTTTAGGAGGTCAGCAATTGGAGTGGTCATTTAGTCATACGTTAATTTATTATAATGAAGATGTGGCAATAGCTTGAAATCATAATATGCCTTAACGATCGAAGATGCTCTTAGATTGAAGATCTCTAGCTCTAACCTAGACTTGAACAATTTCATGATATTAACTTTTAACCATTAACTTCATCATTAAAAAAAATAATAATAATAATAATAATAAATAAATGATCTATGCGTAATATTATATGGAAAAAAATAAAAAATAATAAAAAGAAGCCCTTGATATTGTAGAAATGGTCCCCACAGAAAAGTGACAATTCGGAAATAGTCCTTGTAAAATATCAAAAGTATAGAAATTGTTTTTATGTAATACTAGTAAAATTACAAAACAATCTATATGACAAAATTACACTCATTAACTCTAAGCAATAGCAAAATTATAGAGATTATCCATATATGACAGAACATTGCAAAAATCAAGTCGAAGACAGAGAGTTAATATATCCTTTTAAATTTTAGAAGACGTGAAATGAAGTCTTAAGTCTTAACACATCACATGTATCCTTAAATAAGAGGTGACGGAACGTATACACTTACACTTTTTAAGTAAGAAACAAAAAAATTTTAAGAATCAAAGAAGATATACATCCAATCCAATCAAATCCAATTCAATCAAATCAAATCAAATCAAACAGCTATACAACACGTGGCAGTGTCGGCTACCTTTTTCCCCAATAACACTACTACAAGTACAAAGTACAAACGCTAGTTACTAGTTAGTCCTCCTCACTTGAAGTAGTATCCAGCATATTTACAGTTTCGTCCTCCACCGGAATCCTCCCCCACCCCGACGGACTTCTCAACGACAACTTTGACCGGTGTTCACCTCCGACACCTCTAAAGCCTGTGATTTTTGAGGAAACCATGGGCATCGCAAGAACCGATGAAGCATGCATGGTATCATCCCCCATACCAAGCAACAGTGTGCATGTACTCTGTACCCAAACCAAAAATTGGAAATTTTAATTTTTAAGAAGAAAATAATAATTTGGATTCCATCTTTTTGTATCGATGAGGATGATGCCCATCTGTATCTGGAAAGAAAAGTCGGACAAAAACCTTTGCTTTCACCATGGCTGCTGTCGCTTTTGTTGCCATTACTCTTGCCAGCGACTTCATGTCCTTGATTTGCAGTTGCGACTCTTCACATGGCTTCGACAACCTTTCATTTTCAATACATACAAGACTTTCTGTTATTTCCCCTTTTTGTTTTTTTTTTTTTTCTTTATATCACAAAAAAAAAAAAAAAAAAAAAAAACTACATATGTTTGGGAAATAACTCTAGCTTCTTGATGTTTGATTGATTTGATTGTGTTGTGTGTTTATCAAACTAATGTCATGTACCTTTCTGTTTCAGGGTTGACATGTGATGAAGCCACGGATGATAAGGGACTTTCCTTCACTTCTGTTAAAAAGAAAAGAAAATGAATTTCCGATTTTGACCTTGCGATTGTGAAGTAAATGGATTAGGTTTAGTTTATTACCTTTCGAGTCGTCGGGTGCCAGCAATGAAATTCCTATGAATACTGAAATCATTCCCAGAATAAACATCGCCGTCCTCAAGGCGTCAAGTACCTGATCATATACAAACAAACAAGTAATGTTAATTATTTTGTTTTTTACTATAACCTACCTCCCTTTTTTATATTATTAATTCTGGTTGTAAGCTTTTTATATCTACTTATACAAAAAAACTAGTCTTTTTAGTTTGAGCATATTCTATTGTGGATGATTTTGGTTTTTTATCATTAATTGAAAATTATTAATTAGAGAGTACAATGTCATCCTAAACATAAACTTTTTTAATTTTTTTTAACGTCGTAATTTACAATTTCAATTTATAACTGTTCACAACAGCCAATTATTCTCAACATCACTTTTAGACACAAGAATAAAATGTTCATTCAGTAAGTCTTTGTTTATGCAACACTTACTCCAAACAAAAATTATATCTGTACAACACAAAACGAAGAAGAAAAAGAAACACCCCTTAAAGACTTTCCCTATTAAGTCTTATGAGAGAGAGAGAGAAAGAGAGAGAGGTGAGAGAGAGAACCTGATATTCTTGGAAATACACAAATCCAGTACAAATTGAGAAAAATGTCCAAGCTATCTGAAACATGGGGACTATAAGTATGGCATCAAACTGTGATAATCCTTCGTTCAACCTTGCCATCTGTAGATATATGGTATACATAAAAACAAGTCAATACATATCATCCAAATTTTTCACTAATAATAATAATAATAATAATAATAATGTTAATATTATTATTTATCATTACCCAAAATCCAGCTGTACATAGAAACAATAAAAGAATCGAATACGTGAACCAGCTATCCAAACGATATGAACTTGACATGGACAGTCTTAAAAGATTTGAGCTGAAAAAATAACACAAATATTCCATTCATTAATACCAAGTTTACCAAATTAAAGCCAACAAATCACATCATGTAGCAATGTAGCATTAAGAAAAACTCACAGAGACTTTGCAAAGAGAACTGAACATGATCCTATGGCTCCTGAAACTACAGCAAATGAAAAAGGAAGCAGTAACTTCCAGTATCTCATAAGATCCTTCCCTGGAATAGCAAGCAACAATTCTCCTCTCCTGTTTAATGTTAATCCATCCCAATTTATCAAATTAATTAAATGAAGTGATTTTTTAGGGGAATATATTTCGATTTGAAGAGCTTACCTGTATACATAATGATGCATGAGAACCACCACCACCAAAAGCAGACAGTAGAAAAGGAATGTAATGTTGCTGTACTTTTCTGCCAACTGCTCCTGTGTGTAAACTGTAAAATTCACATACACAATATTAATAATCACCATAAGAATTTTAATTTCCCTAAACTTTGAATAAGAATTTGAAAAAAAGAAAATGTGTAAAACCAATGTGGTATATGGTATACCATACCAGGTGATTGGTGATTGCCAAAAGCAACAAGGAAGATGTTTCCAAGAACAATAAAAGTTGTGGCGACTAATACTCTGCATAAAAAAAAGCTACAAATGTTAGTAAAAGTTACTTTCAGAACATATAACAAAAAAAAGATGCAGATTAAAAAAAAACATACTTTACAGTGACTGTTTTCTGTAAGACGAAATAGGCAAACGCGATGTTTGACACAAATTGTATGGATCCCAATGCTGCAAGAAGTGACTGTGAAAACACAAGACAATAGAATACCTAAATTACAAATTTTGGATTTAAAATGTTGCTTTGAAATGATTTTGAAGCTGCAAAATTCACATACCTGAGCAGCATATCCAAAGGAAATAAAGTTAAGGGCATTTCCAAAAGCGAAAAATAGAATACCTGTGAACATATCGATATATACTTAGAAAATAAATAAAAAATAAATAATGTAATAGAAAGAATAGACACAAAAGAGCAGAAAAATTAAAGTTTACCTATTCTCCAAGATTGGAAGCTTATGACAGGCCTCAGTAGTGTCTTTCCATTAATCCCTTCAACTAACAGAGCATGTCTTTCTCTCTACAATGTTTTAATTACAATTCAGATTAAGAAAAAAGGACGATTGCATTTACTATTTTGACCTATTTTGTGAATACAAGCATTAAGTACCTCGTCATGGCCCAATTTAAGAAGATTAGTTCCGAAGTTAATTGCAATGCTTCCAAAAAGGTTAATAAAAGCTCCAACCACCCACTCGCCCATAGATTAAAAAGGTCTATGTGACAGAGGTGATTGTTTTTAATAAATGCAATGAAAGTGGCGTCTAGAGATCTCCAATAATCAGGAGGTAGTAGTCAGATGAAGGAACTGAACAACAAGAACACTTTCTCTAGCATCCATCGGTGAGTCCACTTGGTGTTAATTGGATGAGAATTGAATCGCCTGCAAGATGAACATGTTAGTTCAGAACCAATTAGAGCATATTAGGTTTGGAAACTAATATCGCGGTTGATTCGTGTTAACATTGACGAAAAACAGTTTGAATGTATGATAGCTGTGACACTAGTAGTCTTGATGATAACCAAAGCCAAAACCCTTGATGGGGTCAACTAAACGACTAACAATCAAGTAACAACGCGTTTACCTCCAAAGGAACAAAAAAGCCGATTTAGGGAAAGCAAAAGAAAATTAGTTGATTGATTGAAAGAGAATAGAAAAGAAACAAATATGATCGTATTCGTATCAGATCCCATGTTAATATACAACAATCTAACAGCTTTAGGGATGATATAAATTGTCTAGAAAATGACTACCGATTTAGGAAATTGAAAGGGTAGGTAACTGTATCGGCTTGAAATCGAAGAAAATTACAGATCCCAGGTCAAATCCAAGAAAATGCGTCGGGTAATTGTAAGAAACAAAGAGAAGTCAAAATGAGAGTTGCCTGCAGGGAAGATTACGTTACCTCAGGTGTGAGAAAACAAGAAGACAGCTTGCTGGAAACCAATATGCTAACGTCGAACACGATCTTCCGGGATCAAGGAGGATAAACCAAATCTGGGAATTTGTTTACAGGTAGTATTTTCAAATTTAGCACGAATATATGATCAATTATACACCTCCAAGATTTGAATATGAAGGGCGACCCAACAAAATTAATATTTTCGGGGAAACAAGGATGCGAATCAAACAAGAATTTGAATTGAAATTGAAATTGAAATTGAAAGAGAGAGGAGGTGTTTTAGACCAGGGGTGAGGCTGGTCTTTGTGTCGAATGTCGATGGGTAAACGATGTCTTTGGTCGCATTGGGTGGCTTTTGCATTTTGCAAGGCACACGTGATTTCCCAACGCAGCCGTCGGCGACCTCAACAACAACAATTCGTCCCCTTTAGGGCTAAAATTACCAAATTAGCCCCACATTGTCAAACTCGATTGACTACTCTTCCAAGTTTCTTAATTGACTTTCTTCATTACCTAGGGGCTATAAATTAAATTGTTTCATTTTGAAGCCAAAATTTTAATTGCTATTTTTAGAGTTATAATTATTTTACTTATACAGGCAATGGTATCTGAGAAGTGGTATTTATCTTCGATTCAAGTAATTAAAACCCGTTTAATAAATGATGTAGTTTAAGAATAGATTAGATTGTGTTTTGTTGATAATAAAATGACATGCCAATTTTGATTTTTAAACGTCACAATAGATTGTTCAACCTATTCAAATAAAGTTGATACCAACGTATATGCATTGACAAAAAAAATTCTAGAAAATATGGTATTAAAACTTTTGTTTACTTTATATCCATCCATCGTATGAAAAATTCGTCTTAACTGAATACACATTATGCTAACGGCCCAAAACATCTTATTGCAATGAGATAGGAGATGTAGATGTCCATTGTTATACGGTTGAGGCCTCCCTCCATAAGGGGAGGTAAAATTTTCTTTTATGCATAAACTAAACATTTCTTAAATTTTTGCAAAACCACCATTTTGTAATTCTCCAAAGAAATATAAGATAGAATATGCTTTTTTGGTAGTCGATGATAACTATATCATAAGCTCAAATTAACAACTTGGAGTTGGATTATACCCTAATCAAACAACATTTTGCATATTACTTCACATAAATAATAAGACTCCTAAAATTTCATAAATAAAAAAATCTATGATGATAATTACAATAAGCCAACAGTTGAGCTAATTAGTTACAAAACATATTCCATATATTCACGGAACCATGACCCAACCCCCATATGTGGCCTATCCTGTGTGCATACACCCTATCACTAGCATGCATCAGCATCAGCATCAACATCAACATGCATTGTTAATGTTTGGGTTCAGGTTTCATCTACACAACAGAAACGGTCAGGTTGGGTTCGTTTAGGTTAGTTTATGCCCGATTCGTTTTGGTTCCTTATGGATCATCTTGATTACACTCCGTGAACGTGAAGCGTCCATTTAGTATCTTATAAGGGCTGGTAACGCAGAATGAAGTTCTGCTAACAACTGGAATATCCAAGTAAGAAGCTGGTCCTTTGGTAGATCAATAAGTAATTCCGCCTATAAAACAACACAACACATCACAACTTTACCTTATACTTTATACTGTGCTTGACATGCATTGGACTCTGACTCTGACACTGACTATCTTAGATTGTGAGTGTGAGTGACAGGCCCACCCAAAAATGCCCTCCTTGAATATAACAAATATAACGGGGCGAAAGGAAAGGGGTGATTTGTATTGTACCTTAATTTGGCCTGCTTGAAAAGCAAGCATGTTGCGGTGAGTGTCGGAAAACATGGCGTCTGTGATCATCTTGAATACTTGTTGGTTCATGTTTGTCATCATTACCACGGTTTTTCCATTAACATAGATTCTAGTGATCCCTATATCTGCTGCCATTCTTTTCACATAAAGTTTTTTCAGTAAAGATTCCATGGCGTAAGGCTCTTTTCCATATTGCCTCCTGAGATCCACTGTAAACTGTACCAAACTCCACGTATCCTTTTCTGCAGCCTTTTCTGCATCCTTCACTACTTCTATAGGATTGTCCAGATAATTTATATACTCCGATGACAGACGAGGGTTTATGTCCAATTCAAGCTGACATAATAAAAACAACATACAACAGATAATTAGACTGCTTTTACCCTGAAAATTATAAATGCCCATTCTTATAATGAAGTTGATTTTCAAAGTACAATATTGTAATAGTAAGATATGGTCCACTTAAAATACCTTGACGGATTTGAAAGAAACCGGATGAGTTCGATGCACATCAACCTGGTTTTGGACATGAGAAAGACTCTGAAACTAAGTCAACAGGGACAAAACGGTAAAATGCACAAAGACAGGAGTGAAGGAAGAAACACAATACCATGGACAAGCTCTCGAAAAGCATTTCAAAGAAGAGATCGATGCCTACATTTCCAATATCTCCTGTTTGTTGCACACCAAAAATATTACCAAATCCCCTAATTGTCATGTCTCTTTCTGCAAGTTGCAACCCTTGACCAAGGTCACCACATTCTTCAAGAGCTTCAAGCCTTTTCTGAAGTGTTGCAAAAGATTGTATTTTACCATTTAGAGATCATAAAATGCAGAATTAACAATGTTGTATACAGAATTATTAGTTGTGTTGACCAAGGAAGAGAAGACCATGTACCTTTGCTGCTGGAGTAAGCAACAACTTGTTGGGGTAGTATAGATGAGCATGAGCCTCCTTATTTGACCTTCCTACCCTTCCACGTAACTATACCAACAAAGTTATCAAATAAGAAAAAGATTAGACGCATACATAATGACTAGAAAAAGTCAACTATATCTATCAGTAATGACAAAATACCTGATAGAGTTGTGCAAGCCCAAATTGCTGAAAGTCTTGGATTATGATGGTGTTAGCATTTTGAATGTCAAGCCCACTCTCTACAATATTTGTAGAAACTAGAATCCTGATTTCTCCTTCCACAAATCTTGTCATTGTTTTCTCCAATCGTTTCGAATATAGCTGTGCATATAAATTTAAATGGTTATATTATTTCATTTGTTCTGCAATTGATGTACTACAAAGCATAACAGCAAAATGTTTACCTGTCCATGAGCAAGGGCAACTTCAACATCTGGAAATGACTTCTCAAGAAATGCCAGAACCTCTTCAAGACCTGTGGATGATAATCAATGAGCTGAAGTGAAGTAATTGCTTTGTCTTGAAATACTTTTAAAAAAAAGGTCAAATCATTTGTTACCTTGGATACGTGGTAAAACATAGAAAACCTGGCCTCCACGATCGAGTTCAAACTGGATTGCTGATATAACTTTTGCCTCACTATACTCTGAAAGATGGGTTTTTATAGGAACTCTTTGAGGAGGTGCTGTTGAGATCAAACTGAGGGAAAAGAAAGGGTTACAGAAAAGTTTGATCTTTATTGATTTCAGAAATATGCTGACTATGATCAATTTTCTATGATGTTACCTGCAATCACGAAATCCAGTTAATGCTAAATATAGGGTTCTTGGTATAGGAGTTGCTGAAAGAGTAAGAACATCAACTGAAGTTTTCATTGAAGCAATCATCTCCTTCTGTTTGACACCAAACCTCTGTATACCACAAAATCAGGCATCCCTTCATATCAAAAAATCAAAGGGTAAGGATGATTATCAAAGATTGGTAAATGGAAAAGGAGGTAAACCTGTTCTTCATCAACTATAAGAAGACCTAATCTATCATATGAGACACGACTTCCAAGAAGTGAGTGGGTTCCAATAATAATATCCAGTTCCCCATTTCTGATCATGTGAAAGTACTCCTCTCTTTCTGATGCAGTCTGCATGCTGTAAAAGGTTAGGTTCATTGCAATGTCGGTATCTTATACAGAGAATATCATGAAGCTATTTCCAACATATTACACCCTAAAAATGGTGTAATTTAAAAGAGAAAAGAAGAAAGATTATTTTCACCTGAAATCTGCTCATGAGCCCAACCCTGATGTTGGGGTAATTGGAAAATCTCTCTGATATAACACTAAAATGCTGTTTAGCCAAAACAATGGTTGGTGCTAATACCATTGCCTGCTTTCCTGATGAAACCACATAAAAGAGGGCACGTTGAGCAACTTCAGTCTTGCCGAACCCAACATCTCCACAGATCAATCGATCCATTGGTGTTTCTCTCTCTGTCAAATCCTTCTCAACATCAATAAAGGCCTGTAACTGATCAGAAGTGGGATTATGGGGAAATTGAGAAGCAAATTCAGC